GCACCTTATGCTCATGCTCTTGAGGACATTGACATTTTTTTTTTCGTAATGTATTTGTTAAGGTGTGTCCTAGCCTATCGGCTTTTTTTTGTACTTTTATTAATGGCTGATCATCAGAAGCTTAGATGTAAGAGTAGCCATTGGCTGAATCTCGCCTTTTATTGATCATAATGAATCGATAAATTGTGATTTATATATTCAGTTTTTCTTCAATATATACGATTATTTTTTTACCCTAGTATGCGCTGGTCAGGCCCTATCCCCCGAAGCCCCGATACAATCGGGAGGGCGCGCCTGCATTATCAACGAATGACCACTCCTCACACCGTGAGGTAAGTGTTCATTGGGTCCGAGAAGCATGTGCCCTGAGCAAGCTCAGTTAGCTAAGAATAACAGCTTTCTGCATCTGTGCGGCTAAGATTTCTGCCCTAGTGCAGCAATCCGATATGATTTTAAGATTCGAGAGTAGACTCTCATTCCACCAAGGACTCCAATAATCAGAACAACCATCTTAACAAAGTGGTCTGGATAAAGTCTGAGGACTTCGAAGAGAAAATCTAGTTATTTTATAATTTTTCCTCCTCTTTTCGGACGATATTCTTGCTAGGAGCTGAAAACTCCACGATAAATATCGTGGTCGAGAAGGACTACATCAGGCTCATTAGCTTGTATGAGCCTGAGGGTGGGAAACGAATAGTTCCAATAAATTCGGCACTTATCGTTCCCCACAACGTATTCAATATCCTCCGGAGCGTAGGGCAACACCGGTGTCCCGTCAATACCGTACGAGTGCCGTACGACACTCTTATGGCCGCGTTATGTCGATGGATATAGACCGAGACCGTATATGCTGGACATGTTGATAGCAAGTGCATTAGGGTCCCGGCAGGCCCTGCCTCTATATCCATCACGCGACTTCCGTAGACTAAGGTGTTGAAGACACCATCCTGGCATGTCATGAGGAACCCCCCAGTTTCCGACTTCAGCTCACTCGACCTGAGGAAAGCGAAAGTCAGGCGCCTTGATAAGCCAAAGTCTCCAATATTATTGAAGAAGACCCCATGCATTGGCTTATTCTTGTGTTGCTGCAGAAGTGAGGTGATCTCTGCGGCTTCTATATGAGCCTTTTGCTGAACGGGTTTCAATTTAGTGACAGAGTTGTGATCACCTCGTTCATGTCGAAAACTAAACCGAGTTCATCAGCTGCCGTAAAGAGAAATGCTCCATATCCTGATCTTTCATCGTCGCGGACCATGCAAAGAAGGGGATCCGAACTCCTAACAGGCTACATCCAGTACTATTCTCTCATGTAGGCACACTACGGCCTCCCGGTTGTCGAGAGACGTACAGCTGTGGAACGGACGATTTGGGATCGGGTCTTCACGTAGAGGTGATACAGCTCCTCCCGAGTCTACTTCGCTACTCCAAACGAGAAGGGTAAGATTGGAATGGCAAGCATATTCGTTGCAACAATTTTGTTTTTCCCCGACAGTTCCGATGACCACGATGAGAATTCTTAATTGCTCTTGTGAGTGGCGGTGTTTCACGCCGAGGTGATTCAGATCGTGTAGAATGCTTCCATCTACGAGTTGCATATGCTCTCCGTAGTGAAGCAAGTCCGCCAGAGTGGTATTCAAGATATCCCACTATTTCGTCGGGTACCTCAAGGCATCTGGGCAAATGCAAGATGTGCTCATCTGATGTTGCATCAAATGCCTAGCGGTAATCGATTCAGGCCATAGAGATGTTACACTTATACTGTATTGAAGTCCTGCGTTACACACCTATCGATAAGCAAGTTCTCTTTATATCCAGCGACTCCTTACTTCGCCTCTTTCTCCTCATATATCTGTTTGAACACTCGGTCAACTAAGGTGAGTATTCGTATGTATAATGTGCTTGTAAACAGCTTGAAACACGAATTAGAGCATGTTTTTGGTCTATAATACTTGGAATTGACGAATCTCAGCTCTTGGGGATGAGAACGGTCCGCCCTCGATAAACCAATCTGGAATCGGTTGCTCTCCGTCCAGACATAAGTTGAAAATTCTGGCCAGATGGCGGTGGGTGGATGTAGTTCTTGGAACCCACAAGGGTTCTTTGAACGTCATCGGGGGTTATTGGCTTGCGCAGTTCATTAGGCTCAGGCTGTCAAAGCTCTCTGTTGAAAGCTTCGAACTGCGCTAGGGCTGGAGTATCTGAGTTGAGTGGCTGTGAGTGTTCATAGATGTCTTTCCAGAAGGATCCCACCTGATCAGAGGTCAGCGGATTATCCACAACACATGAGGCTATTGGAATGAGGGAGAAGGGTTCTTGCGAAACCTAAAGTTTTTCGCGATATTTCTCGCTCACCTCACTAATGACTTCTTAGCAGCCAATAGCATTGCTATCCTATCAAGGCAGTGCTGTTTGGTGGACAGCAGCGGCTATTCACCGAATCGCGGGCGTGAAAGACTTGTTGGCCTCCCAGTTATCCATCACACACTGGATACGAGACGTGTATTGTCTCGCCGACGTGATCTTAGCCTCCATCTTTTGTACACGCCGTTCAATCTTTCGAACCGCAAGGCCGGGATTTCGTCCTTCTGATTCAGTAAATCAACGTTCCAACATATGAGAATTTTAATAATTTATGTATTTATAATTCTCTACCGCTCTTTTATAAACCTTTTCCAATATCATGTATTCGAACTGAATAAAATGGAAGAGTCTTTCCTGGCCCTGAAGTTACGAAGCTCCAACATATTCGAAAAACATGCCGGAGTCATCAGCAAACGACCACTTTCCACAACTCTCGGTGTGTATAGTGGCTCACTTGACCCGAGGAAAGACAAGGTCAGGAGCTTTGATAAGCAAAGGTCTTCAAATATCATTGAAGAAGACCCCATGCTTTGGCTCATCTTTGTGTAGCCGCAGAAGTAAAATAATCTCTGCAGTTTTGACAAAGACCTCTTGCTAAACGGGTTCCAATTCGGTGACAGAGTTTTGGTCACCTCGTTTTGTGTTGAAAACTAAACTGAGGTACTCGGACAGCTGTCTTGAATAGATATGCCTCGATGTCTGCTCTCACAGTATCATGGCCCATAATCAGAAAAAAAAATCCTGATGACTTTATAGGAGTAGCGAAGGGGACTCTGGAGGATATCGAAATGGTGATCAAATTCGTAACAGTAACTCTGTTCTTCTCCGACAGTTTACTTGCCATGGAGGTAGGCATCTAGATGCTGTAGGATGCTTCCACCTACAAGTTTCACATCCTATCTGTAATCGAATGGTCTTTTTCTGAGATGGATCATTGCGCATTTGTCTATCCTGTATTCCATATAGATCGCATGCCAGTACTCATCCACCATCCTTACGCACTGATAAAACAAATATTGAATGAATAGATTACCCTTTGCTTCTAGCTTCAGGAAGTGCGACAGTTGTATCTTTGAATTTTCCTGATCGAAACAGATAATGGCAATAATGATATACAGGAAAGGAGACTGAGAAAATTGCCTTGAAATACACTGTACATGAAAATAACCTGTTTTTGTTTGAACTCCTACCTGATCAGATGTTATTATGAATCGAGTCTTTCGGAGTAGTATCAGTTGTTCAAGGCATCTTATTATTTTATCAGTACACCAAAGCATCTGAGCAGATTTGAAATGAATTCGCGCGATGTTGTATCAAATACCTTGAGGTTAGCGGTCCAGGCCATATCGATCGATGAGCACGTTCCCCTTGCAGTCAGAATATACTCTCTCTGACTCCCTCAGCTCATATAATCGTTCCAATACTTGGTCATAAAATCGAGAAAGATCAATGCAGTCAAGCTGCTGAAAATGTATTTCATAAAAATAAAAAAATTGGTAGATAAGTACTATTCTGATCATTCCCATATTGACTTCAATTCAAGAGCCATCGGTAGACATTTGTTTCTGGGCATCGTCAGGACCGGGCAGGCGGTCCTTAATTGAAGACAAAATGAGAAAAACTTGATATATATTTTCGTTTTTGGGGATAAGAAAGATTTGTCCTAGACAAACCAATCCTAGTCAGGTGGCACTAGGTGCTTGGTAGTTTCTTCCATCAATAATTCCTCAGCCTATCTGGGCCTGGATCAGCAAAGTTGATCAAACTCGCAAGAGCTTTTTGAACGTCATCCAGGATGTTAGGGTAACGCAGTGGCTAGGATCAGTCACTGCGGATGTTCATGAATATCCTTCCAGAATGATTCCACCCGATCAGCGGTCAGCGGAATATCTACAACATACTCCTGGAATGAGCAAATATGTTACTCGCGAAACGAAGTTTTTTGGAATATTTCTTGCTCATATTACTAGTGAACTTTTAGCGGCCATTAGTATTCGTATCGTATCAAGTCAGTTCTGTTTGATGGTAAGCAGAATGCATTGCCTTGAAGTGTGATGGACACGTCGTGGTTTAGCGGTTGAAAGTTGCACAAGTGAGCGTGAAAAGTCTTGTTGGCTGCGCAAGATTCTATCCATCCGAATCCAAAAACGACTGAACAGCGTTATACATGTTTTATCATCGTTATATCATCGGGCTCTGCCTTGAATCCCCAGTACATTCAGAAAGACCACCCAACAAAATCATCCAATAGCCATTTCCCACACTGTGAAGTAAGTGATCACTGGGTCCAAAAATTATGTGCTCTAAGCAAACACTTTGAATCAAGAGTCACAAACTTCTGCATTTGTCCAAATTGGGATAACTTTTCGATTTGTTAACCAATTAAAATAAATCGAATACTAAATATCAAAAGAAACTCATCACAATACATTACTGAAAACCTCACCTAATAAAGTTTTTTTCCGTATATGTCATCTGTGTGTAGAGAGCGATCACTTTCCGTATTCGTATTAATTTATAGCATATGATGATTTATATTAGCAAATACGTTGAAATTTGCTAGTTTCTGAAAATCTAACTTTTTTTGAATAAGTAGATTTGCACACTGAACATGTATACATTTACGATTTTTGTTTTAGGTTCAATTGAAGAGGACTGCACTGACTTCCAGGGACAAACCATACAACACGGAATCCTCTATGTGCCAGGGCCTGCTGTTTGCACAATGTGCGTGTGTTACCACAGCGAACCGATGTGGTGCCAAGCTATCTATTGTGATCCTCCTTATGTAAGGCATGCTAAAAATTTCGAATGAGAACATCTCATACAAGTATTTTTCAATCTGTAATATACCATTTTTATAGTTCTGCAAAAAGTTTCGGGTTGGCGAACGGTGCTGCGAATTCGAATGTTTGGACCCACCAGGAGATGCAGCATCTAAATTGTTGGAAGAATATCGAAAAAAAATGTTGAGGACAAACGATGCAGCTCAAACAACGATTCCAAAATTTTTGTTAATGTGTCTCTTTACAGTACTGCATATGTAATTATATATCCAGAAAACCTGGGCAAAGCTTTCATATTGGACATAGAAAAATGTATAGTTTTCAAGGACATTGCATTCGATTCATTTTCCGTTTACAAGATAATATCACCATATGAAATATTTTGAGAGAAATCTATACAATTTTCAATGCAATACACTGTGTTGTTTGATGTATTATATTAAACAATATGGGTTCTAAACTTTTGCTTTTCAAATGTATAGGTCTAAAAAACATCTCTCTGAATGTTACTCTGCTGAATTAGACTTTCTAAAGGTTGACTGTTGAAACAAGACAAAACTTTTGAACCCAAGACTTGCGGTCATTTGAGAAAAATATTCGAATGTTATAGTACAGCAGATATTCTCCTCATATGCGATGGATGGACTTGGCCGATATTTGATGAAAATCCATTAGGTACTCATTCAAATAACACTATTACACTATTAACACTATTATGAGATTTTTACGGAACAGTTCACAAAATAACAACACGTGTTTCGGTATACAATAGTGCCTCAAGCATTTTCCATACCGACTGGATTCTACTTAATTTCTGTTTTGTATAATAATAATTTGAACTTTACCTAGAGTAGCGAATAATGATGTCAACTGACTTTGGATGGAAAATAATTGAATTTTTTAACATCATTGAGAAATATCATTCATAATGTTCAAACATTTGGAGGCTGACGTCACCACCAAGTAGTCGCATCACTTCCCATAAGAGCGACTGTAGACGAAATGTTAATTCATGTGCATTAACAGAACATGTTAATTCGGAGGATCATAAAATGAATTTTGAAAATCCAAATATTTTAGATAGAGAAACCAATACAACTAAAAGAATATTTTTGGAAATGATACACATTAACAACGAAGAACATTCAATGAATAAACGAACTGATATTGATAGTCTTAGCAAAATTTACACGTATCTACTGAAATATGATTAAGAAAATAAAAGATCTAGTAATTCGAGTATCATTCAGAATTTTCACACTTGACATTGTCAGCCAAAAATATTTATCAACTGTCATTATTTAATGTTTTTCTATCTGTTTTTAAACCTTTTTATATTTTATTCTCACGTTAGTAAGTTCTCCATATTTATATATTTTTTACAAGATATATAATCTTATTATTG